AAACAAAAAATCGAGACCGAGAACTATCATAAACACAACATCCACAGGCACACGAAACCTTCTTCTTCTTCTTCTTCTTCTTTGAGGTGTAGTGGCGGTTGGCAAATGATGAATTGGCACATTACCGCCACCAATTGGTAAAATAAAATAAAATAAAATAAGTCAGGAGAGGTGTCGTATTTTGCCAGAGAATGCAAATATGCTCATATTTCTGCAAAAGAATTGCTGAAGTTTGAAGCTGTAGTGTGTGTACAGAGTGTGTGTGTGTGTTTTGTATTTATTTATATTTATTTAAGTATACTGTAAACTGTTGTCAACAGTTAATATATTGTTCATAGTTTGAAGTTTAAAAGTTTGAAGCTGTAGTTTGAAGCCAAGTGTTTTGTATTTATTTATATTTATAGTATACTTTAAACAGTTAATATATTGTTCAATTTGAAGAAAAGAGTATCAGTTCAGGCACCGTTTAGGCACCGGTATCGTTTTAAAAGTATCGTTTTAGCACCGTATCGGAAAAAACCCAAACGATACCCATCCCTAAGTAGGACAGTACTGAAGGCCAAGGTATGAAACACACGGCCCACCTCTGATTAATGGTATCGGTAATAGAAATAATAATGTTAATAATAAAAAATGTCCGTGTCCCAACTTACATTAGTGAAGTTTGTGATGTGTTTTAATCTACTTATGTTATGTTGTTTGTGTTTTACTTGGTTTACATACTTATTTAGAACCATGATTCTAAATTTCAAAAAAATTACAACCATGATGTTTTTCTTAAACCTAAGAAAGTGATTTTGTTTGAATTCACAATGTTAACCACGTGTTTACTGTGAAGGTGGTGGAGCGTTGTTCCAGAATACTTAGTGCTTTAGAAAGTGAAGCTAAAGATCCTGACCAGTATGTGGTGAGTTGAGATGAGAACGTGCTCCACACGCTCCACCTTTTTTGCTAAACGTTTCAGACTGATTGATGGATGGATGTCTTGATATTATTGGTTGGAATTGTTTGGTACTAGCTTACGTAAGCACACTTCATATTTTGTTTTACAGGAAGAAACAATGATTGGATATTAATTAGGACTGAGCAAGTCAACGCGTTATTATTGCGTTAATGCATTAATTAATTAACGCCGACAATTATTTTATCGCGCGTTAACGGTTACAAGCACAGGGTCCTAAGTCCCTCCATGTACATGTGCTTCTTATCACCCTCTATGTACCAACGTACATTTATAACAAATAACACACATATTATGGTAATCAGTGTTGCATATGTGTCTGACCAAAATACCAAAAAAGCAAAAAAGAAATCATTCATTTAAATAATTTTGTTAAAGTTTTTAAAGTGTTTTTATTTGTAATATGTATAATAAGCATATCATTTAGTTATCGCTACTGAGAATTTAACAAAGAAAAAAACATGACGTAGATATGTTTGCAGTTTTCAAGGTGTATATTTCAAATTGCATCTCTTACACACATGAAAACAAAGTTGTGAACACCGGCTGAATATCTATAATCAGAATCATTATAACTGTGTTATAACTGCTACTGTGTAAAGGGAATACTGCTGTTAACAAGAACCTTATTTGTTTAAAGTGTTTGCAAACCAAATGTTATTGCACTTTTGTTCATATAGCAGTACTTTTAAAATAAAAGTGCAAAATACACTACTTTTTAATTCATTGTTGAATTTTGCGCATAACAATGCGATTAATCGCAAAAAATCATGCGATTAATCGCGATTAAAAATTGTAATCGTTGCCCAGCACTAATATTAATATTAACATACAGAGACTTTTATTTTTTTGTAAAAATATATATTATTAAATAGGTGCACAATATGACTCAGGATTTGTTCTGAAAGGGTTAATAGGTCATTTTTATTGAATTTTTACTTTAAATCTGAAACTCTGAAAACTGAAGCATTTTATCCTGATAGTGGTTGTTTTATATTTGTAGTTGAGCTAAAACAATAGAAAATGTGTCAAAAACTACACTGGAAATGTTTTGCAATAAAAGGAGCATTGACTCAGATTCACTCCTTTGCCTGGCTGGGAGCCTTGTGTCCAGCTCTGGACACATCAGGCCCATCAGGCCCATCGGGCAGGGGGCAGGGCGGGATGGCCAGCAGCGCTCTGTTTAAATGAATATCAATCATGCCTCCCAGACTGAGCCGTCACCGCGGGGCTGTGATTGGTTCATAGCAGACCGACCTGGAGCGCCGGTGAAAGCTGCTGTATCAGTGTCCATTCACTGACAACAACGAGGCTGAATAACTAATGAGCTCTGTCCAAGCTGAAGTGTGGTCCTGTCTATTCTCAGAGTAGCTTTGAACATGACCAGCAGCCTTCCGTGGCCCAAACGCTGGACCTGGGAACCTAAAGAATAGCAATGCTTTCATGAAAAACAATAACAATTGTAGCTTTATCACCAAAGAAGATACGCAGTACGAGGATACAGACACCTTTCCATTTGGATTACTTTTCTTATTTGTTTGATTTTTTAAGGGGTTCTAAGGGGAAGAAGCTTTGACATCAAGGTTGGAGTGAAGAAAACCAAAAATGAAAGCAAGACTCTTTCTCACCTGCATGGCAACTTTCTGTTTGAGTAAGTACAGTCTAGCTTCTACATTTGACATAGAGTTCAGGATCAGAACTAGGGGGAACTTTGCCAAGTCCAGAGAGAGGATGCTGCTGCTCTTCCATCTGTTCTGCTGCTGCTTTGACTTTGACTTTCAGTGAACTGGAATTCAAATCTTTTGCGCCTAAGGTATTAATGAAATCCATAATCATCCTCATAAAAGTTTCCTTTTTGAAAATCCTATTGTTTCTCATTGAATCAGTAAGTTTAACAACAGCATTGTTATATCGCCCCTGTAATTGATGTTTCTGAAATTGCTGTAAATTGGAGAAACAAGCTTGTGCTCTGTCCTCATCTACTAATTCAGGTATTATTATTAAGGACTGAATGAACAGTTCCACTCTGTTCACATGACTGGAAGCTTTTGCCAATATGTATATGACAATATACAAATTAACTGACCATTGTGTCACTTTCCCACCAGTAAAACAGTGTGGCCTATTGAATGGAAATACATTTGGGGGGGTGAGGTATCCTCTAAATAACTCCTACAAATATGGATATATACTGGTCAAAACATTTCATGATCAATCTTGAATGAACAGTAAACGGTTGAAATTGAAGGCCATCAAAACACCGTTTGACTAAACAAGAAAGTTCATTCTTGAACTTGGAAATAATAGTTTTATAAATGACTGAATAAAAAGTCAAGATCCACTCACTACCTTTTTCTTGAGATTTCAACTGAGCAAACTTCACTGAGGAAGTCTGAAGTGCAGCTGAAAGTTCCAGAAAAAGCTTGTAAGTAGATCTAGACTGTTCAACTTGATCTAATTGTTTGCCACAGGGTTTCATTTTGTGAAGTGATGCAGAAAAGACTTTTTCTGTATGCAGAATTCATTTCTGTACCCAGTTATTCATATTTCATATGAATACAGACATACATTTCAAACATTTAAAGAGCATTTCAGTAAGAATGGAATGCCTGACGGCCAGGTATTCTACATTTTTTGAAGGCACAATTATTACATAACAAACATGTAAAATAACCCAGGAGGTTGTAGATGGGAAAAAATGTTTTATTTAAGAAAAACCGAGCAGCTTTGCATGAGAAGGGGAGCAGTGCAGACGGTGTCCTTAGCTCAGACCACAGTAAGGGGTTAGAGTTGGTGACCTCTGACCTTTGGGAGGGGGTATGACTCTGGGTCGTCCCGGTCAGCAGAGCAGTCTGTGTGGGGGGTGCACAGACACAATAGGCCCCCTCAAGTCCTCAGTCTTCAGTGAGCTGACCTTCACACCCTCATCTCCATAACACTGTGCTCAGATTGAGACCTTATTAAAAATATGTGTGTGGAAGGTAATCCCCCTCCAGCTGCCCATGACCATGTTCCCGACAACCCTCCCCTGTCAGGGCTCCTCACTCAGACTCACACACACAGTGAACACGATGGAGGAGGCCTGCAAAACACCCCTTGGTTTAATTCACAGCAAGTACACAAAGGGCCTGTGGTGGCCGGCGTGTGACAGAAAAGAGGCGAACATCTCAATCCGTGGAGAGTTTAGGCTAATGCTAACAGGATTTGAGCCATGTAAAGATGCAGTTATGAGGCTGGTTGGACCTCCTCTAGGCCTTCATCCAATTTTGACCTGACTATATAAGGCACACACTGCTTTGAGAACTTTAATGCAATGCAACTTGTATTAGTCCATTACATTTCTTTTATTAATGTTTTTTTTCATTAATGTGTGAAATCTTCAATGCTTTATGTTTACACCCATGGGTGGACCTTGAAATTCTTATGCCAGCTCTATGTCCTGTGCCACAGAGTAGCTGACTGGGCAGCTTCTGATGCACCAGTAGTGGTAGCATGGTTAAACTGCTGGTTAGGGTTCTTGACTTTATAACTGTGTAAACCTTCCATAGTAAAGCTATAATTTATTTTGATATAAAAAAAATTAAATCTGTGCTCCCATATAATTCATATAAGACCCTATACCTTATATTTCTCTTCTGATGCTACTATTAGTGTCCCATTAGATCACAGTTTCAATAGAGCAATAGTGCTTCCCATAATCTTGCAGTAGCAGCTCTCCTGCACAGTGATGAGTCTGTGGGAGTCCTTCAGCTTGTGTTTTGTCAGGTGTCCCGCCAGGCTTTTGCTTTTAATGAGATTTAACTAAAAAGAGTTGCTCTGTGAGTTGACACCTCACTGATTCAAACTGCAGGTCAAACAAAGAGGCCTCCTCTCCATCACATTAGAGATTATTGCTTATTGATCTGCCTGGCTGGTGGGGACCATGGTTTTGGCCAGGCTTTTTAAATCTGCACTGACCATTAAAAATCAATCCCCAAATGCAGATGGGACGTCCTGGCCCAGGGGCCCAAGGCCAATATCAGTTTATGCATCGGTAAGCATGTTATCAGTCAGGAGAGGTAAGTTGCTCTAAAAACACCAAGTCTGATCCCACACGGAATTTGACCTTAATACCTTTGTTTTCTTATCGAAAAATAGTCACTCTTCATATCACATGATAGAAATCGTGTAAGTTTTACATTCTAGATATTTACAAGATGAAGTTCTATGAGGACGTGTGAATAGGGCTTGGTACGAAACCTTAATTTATCTTTGGTACTGCTTTGAACTGAAATGTGTCCAAACCATAGATTTAAAACAAAAAAATACTGTCAATTTCAGAAAGTTGGCAGATTTAAAATCTCTCTTGTGTTAGTCAGATAGATAGTTCCTGATTACAATCAAAAGTTTGCCAATCGTGGCTTTTTGTTGAAAAGGTGAAAAAAATGTTTTTTTAGAAAGCAGGTTATATTTCTCAAAAAAACTAAAGTAGCATTGTTTTGGTACTTAACTATTGTATCTCCACAAATGTATATATTTAAAAAAAACTGATGTTGGAAGACCAACATTTTTTGACCACACTGAGCTTAATTTAGTTGGTAAATGGAGAAATTACTTTTTACAGTACGAGCAGCCTAAAACTATACCTGTCATCTGTTTAAATCACACTTTGAGTCATGAACACATTTATTCCTCAGATACACTCAGAAACATTGAATCTGACATACGACACCCAGTAAATGACCATCAGTTGACTTAAACAAAAGACCTTTGGAGACCTCCTACAGCTGAAAGAACTCGCCGTCTCCAAGCAAGGAGAGCTTTACTCCCATGAGGAGGACAAAGGAGGAAGCCCCATCCCCATCTTCCAGCTCAGACTTTCAACTACACGTTTATTGTTTAAACTGCTTCCTCCTCTGATGTAATAGAAGAAGAGGTCAGGGGCATAACAAAGGGATTACAACTGATTTGTTAATATTTAAATCAGTTATCAAACATTTGCTCAAATATGATGTCTGCAGATGTTTGCCTTAAATCCATAGAATATGAAGCTCCAACCCTAACCCTAAGTTTTAAAGCTTCAACCTTATTCTAACCTAATATTTCTCAGTTTCCTTTTTCCTGGCTCAAACCCATACAGCCCTCCAAAGTTTGAAATAAACTGATTTGTATATGGTGCTCAGGACCCCTCTCTCTTTCTCTGTATATTTTTTATGGGGGGTAGACAGAAATCTGTGAAAATCAGGGGCCTCAGTCCCCCTAAACAATAGCAGTGGAGGGCTTGGGAGAGTAGCTCAGGCTGGACACAAGCTAACCCACCCGCCCAACCTCATCTACACATCCATCCTCCTCACCTCTGACTGTCTCATGACCCCTGAGGGGCTTGGGGTTACAAGCACAGGGTGCTAGGGAGGGGGTTGTCAACCAACCCCCTCCCTTTAAAAAATCTCATTATAGTCCGTGCCTGATATTGAAAATAGTCCAATCTCTAATGCTATGCACTTCATCATACCTCATGTGGGCCCAGCTTTTTGTCATGGAGTACATTTAACCTCCAGTCTGGAGTTGCCTTAAAGCTTGTTGTCTAACGTCCTTTAGTCCTGACACACTATGACCATCCTTCATCCATCTTCATGCACAGAGTCTCACTGGATTTGAGGCTTCAAACTGAAAGCAAGACTAGGGATTGATCCCATGTCAATGCCAATGTGTCAAGGCACATATCTCAGAGGTAATCTCAACACTGTTATTGAGTTACAGTTATTTTGATACACCTGTACAATCCAATGCAATCCCATATAATCACCCTTCAATGTTTATGAAGATAGTCCCACTTAGTTTTTGTTGACTCGATGGTCATTTCTGAAGCTGTACTTTGAGGTGGGGGTGTATTGGACTGCGACGTTCCTATTTTTTTCACCCAAGCCTAAAAATAATCAACGAGTTGAATTAACACCTCTAGTTTTCACTTCTGAGATAATATCTAAACAAAATAACAATATTTCTGTTTAAGCAACCAGTCTTTAGAAGTCATCCTGCCATGTGTTCTTAAACGTGCGCTGGCTATGTAGACGCTGTAATGTTTAGGCTCGGGGAATAACGGGATACATGGAACGGCGTTACAAAATGACAATACGAACAATGGTAACTGCTTTCAGTTAGAGCGACAGAAAAAATATCTAAGAACAATATACTGCTATGCACATTTGCACTTATTACAAAATAACACTTTTCTTTTTCCGTACATTTGTTTTTGCGATAATCCAAAAGTAACAAAAAGTAATCAAGTTATGTCACTTTGATATTGTGATACTTTGATTAGGTTACTGACTACATTTGAACATGTTATTAGTAATAGATTTTTTAAATAACCATTTACACCCTTGTTGATAATCAAGAGTAATCCAGGCACAGCAATAATATGTTAATCTGCATTAGTGTTTTATGAACCAATACCCTCAAAGAGTCCGATGACAAAACCTTGTTTATGTAAATCTCACTTACCAGGCCTCACAGTTTGCAACACCATGTGTTTGATAACCGTGGCCACAGAATGGGATGCAGGTCCCCCTTGGGAGCCCTGAATTTCATTAGCAGGCCAAAGGGATGGGAAGCTCAGGGGGGTTGCAGGGTTCTATCACCCCAGATCCACTCTCAGCTGGCTGCATCTGCTGGCTGGGACATCTCTCCTCAGAAGGAGGGCAGATGCTCATTTCTTGATGGGACACATCAGTGAAGCCAATCACACAGATCATGAAGAGAGGAAAAAGCTCTGCTGTATGTTCATTTGATCAACAACCTTGTCAACATGAGTCATCAACCTTCTCATATCCAGAAGAATTACAGCCGAACAATGTAATGTCTAAGAGGAGAACTTTGTGGTATTTGTATATACAACACCATGATACCTCTGTCTAGACCATTTATCAGGTTTGGCCAACAGAAAGCAGTTCGGCTACAGCTGCTGTGGAGGATATTTTATCCATGCTCACTCTGATTTATTGCATTTGCATGTGCAGATGTAAGACAAGGTGAGGTGTAGTGAATTGTTAAAGGGTCATATTTTCTCTCACTCTCTGCCGTTTAGGAGGTCTCTGTCCATGCAGACACTTTGGGTTTTATTTGTCTAGCTTTTAAAATATCTGTCTCTGAAATGTCTGCCTCCACCCCAGTGCAATGGAGGTGATTCGGTTTTTTTTATCTGTGGTGCTCACAACATTGAAAAATGACTTAACATCTGATTCCAGAGTTGCTGTCCCTGTTTTGTGGGTTATGTCGAACAACCAGGTCTCTGGAAAGACATGTTACTGATGACATTTATATCAAATATCTCAATGCTGTGAGCCCAACAAACCAAATGACATTGTATTGATGTTGAGGCAATAATCACAGAGAGATATTTATATATACTGCATTTCAAAACCCTGTGGTATCTGCATTGGTAGTTACCACTGAAGGCAATTGAGAAAAATAGTTTTTGAGGGTAAAAATAAAAATCAATGGAAATAGAAATACATAATCAGTGTACTGCTAATGATCTTCAACACATTAGAGAGCAGCATCAGCTGGCCTACAGAGTGGAAATTAACTTCACCTGCAACAGAAATGTACAAAATGACTTAAGCCAATCCAAACTTAAGTTCAGCTGCAAACCGCTGTGTGTGGGATGTGATGCTTGACGGCGGCTGGACAACAATAAATGTTGTGCGGCTCACAGCTCAGTTGACCGAAAGGGTATACTGGATTGAACAGATGCAAGACTCCACGGTGACATTGATAAGGCATTGTGCAGGTTCAAGTGCGACTGCCATTGTTACTGCCTTGCAGCTTCGGAAAGGGGCTACTGCAAGGGTTCAAGGTTCTTTGCATATGAGGACATTAACACCAAAAAAGACTGAAAGAAAATGGGGAAGACTGGGAGTGTCACCAAGGTCACGCAGGGGAGGGGACAAGGGTGAGGAAGAGAGCCCTGGTGGCATGGGAAAGTTACCTCAGAGATGGATCTGAAAGGACGGGAGGGGACGGGAGGGGTGGAGGGGATGCATAAGAAGGGGCAGATGGTGCCTTTGGCTGCATGGTGGCTGATGGGAGTTTTTAGAGAGGTTACTGTGGGTTAGGCACAAATAAGCATAGTCACAACACTATTGTCACAATTGGCCCCTTCCTTCAATGGAGGGTCTCCTAACTTGACCCCAGCATCCATTGCCAGTGTTCTCCTCCTCAGCTGGGTATTGTTGTTGCCCTCTCTGGCTGGATGGCTCGCTGGCATCCAGCCTCCAGCCTTCATTGTGGCTGGCCTTCACTTACAGCGTTATAGGCCTCTAAACCAAATGCACCATCAATCAAATTAGGTGGTTTCTGGTGTTGAGTGTGGTTTTTCCGGCAATTCTGGTAGGGTACTCGGTGACTTGGTGTCCAACAGAGCCAGATGTATTTGCAACAAACAGCCAATGTACTTTATAAGTGTAGACCCCAGCTATTGCCACAAGCCTTGAGTCAGTGGGTCAGTATTTCTAATACCACACCGTCCTCAGGTCCCTTTTGGATCAGAACTCTAACCAACAAACATACATTTATTCATGTCCATAGACTGAGGCTGGATATACAACAAGTTATCATTTCAAGTAAGCAGATAGTCATACAGCCTTTCTCTGTCTGATAACCTGTCCTTCTCTTTCACCCGTTTGCAGGTGGCTGTTTGGCCTCGGAGCTGTCTTTCCTGCTGGAGCCAAGTGATGTGATTGCGGTGAGGGAACGCCCGCTCATGCTGGATTGTCGGGTGCAGGGTGAAGAGCCGATCATGGTCACGTGGCGTAAAAACGGGGTGCCTTTACCCACCAGCCCGCGGGTTCAGGTGCTGGCAAATGGCACGCTGTTCATCCAGAGCTTCCAGAAACGCAGAGAGGGGAGTGACGCGGATATGGGCGAGTACGACTGCGCAGCCCAAAATCGCTATGGCATGCTGGTCAGCTGCAAGGCCAAAGTCCTTTTGGCATGTAAGTGTTTGATAGTACAACACAGCACATTACTGTTACATTCTATATAATTGTTATGTCATACAATTACATGCACTTTAAAACAGTATACTTATTACAAGGGGATGGGAAGAAGTAATGTCACTGGTTATCTTATTCCCTGATGAGCAAATGAGTTGAGTAGGACATTTGAGGGGAAACGAGGAAGTGATTGGCATTCAACAACGATACATTATCAGTTCCTACAGCTACCTCAATGAGATATGGAAATCATAAGTATGAGATTCTCATCTCATAATTATGGAAACAATCTAATAATCTCGATAGTGATATTGTAATTATGAGATCCTTTGTGTAATTAGGAGATGACATCATAATAGAATAACAACATCATTAGTTTCGTTTTTTTTGATTAATACAATTTCCTTCCATTCATCATCAATATCATAACATACAAGTTCACTGTAAGTATGGGTCGTTGTCAGGATTTTAGAAATAGTGAGATCATGAGTCCCCCAACACCCCACCAAACACCATAACTGTTCAAACAGTTATACTATTTGGATTCTACATTGTTAATTATTCAGTTAACTATCCAATTATATTTTCTGTAAATCTTAATTTCTTGTTGGGAAAGTGTATTGCTTGATTGATTATTGACCAATAAATAGTCAAATGAAATATAACCTAGAAATACCGGAATCTGCCAATAACACACCCACCATGTGTTAATTTTTAATTGTAGAATGTAAATTCCAAAGGACATGACCTGTACTCATAGTGACCTCTGTGTACTCATAGTTGTGGCCCTTGTGTTGTAATAGTTTACTTCATTATATACACAAGCTGTTATGGCTGGTAAGATGAAGTAGCACATTTTTGGTTAGACTGCAACTTTTCAAGATCACTAAGCTTTATTATTACTATTTTTCATAACCTGATTTTGGCCCCATCCAGTGATGTTTGTTGCAGCATTTTGATAAATTATCTTTCAAATCACATATCACAGCTAGCTATAAGAAGGAAAAGCTTCTTTGTATGATATTATCATATCCTGTAGGAACGAAGTTCCAAGTTGTTACCTTAAACTTTCTGGGGTTTTGTTTTGTTATGATGAAGATTGTACGAAGAAAATCTAAACTGAATTTGATCAAAAGTCATTTCCTCAGCCAGGAATTACGCTACATTGAGCCTTTGGTAATACAGGACATGGCAAAACTGTGCTTGTATACGTCATGACTTACAGTAACAAAGGCTACACGTGATGCTGATGCTGATCCAACCCCAAACTCTGCACTATAAGTCTCTAATGTACTGAGCCACTTGGAGGTCACATGGAGGAGAGAAAAATATTGATGTGAAAATCTGTGTGCAGAGATTGCTCAATGGATTAGTAAACTATTTTACAGTTTTGAATATCTGAAAAATAAAAATACTTTCTGAAACAGCATGGCATGCTACACCATCCCAATGTGTTATAGCAATAGCAGATTGTAAATGAAAGGCTGATGGAAAATCCATTTCCATGTTCGTTCTCTTCAGCAAACTTGGAAATACCAGGAGACAGAAGTGGCTTTCAGTTTGAAACACTGGATCTTATACTTCCCATAATGTAACCTATAATATCTTTTTGTTAGACCTTCCCTGTCCTGTAAACTCCCACCTCTACAAAAACTCATCCACTCACTCAACCACAGGTCATCATTATGATGTCATCAGGGTTATCTTCTCAGACTTGACAAAGCTCCTCCAGAGACACAGTAGACATTATAGCCTACTAAAAACACTAAGCAGTGGCAGCCTCGACTGCGAAACTGATCATCATGTCATGTCATGCAATGTTTCAAAATAACATCCATATTCAGTGTCTGATTAAGGCTGATCTTTGTGTGGCTTGCTCCTCAGCTCTTCCAAAGTTCCACACCCACCCTCTGTCCATGTCCGTGGATGAGGGAGGCGTAGCTCGCTTCCAGTGTCAAATCAACGGAGTACCTGAGGCCAACATCACCTGGGAGAGAGACAGAGTACCACTCAACACCACCGACAACAGGTAACACCATACACACTACTACTGTACAAACTCAACTGTCAACATGTATCAAACACATGTGATATGTGACAGCTACAAATATCTATATCCGTCGAACTACTATCAGATTCTGCCCCACCTATTTTTTCCATTTTTGGAAGTCAAGGCTTATGCTGCATTGGAATCAGGCAGATATCATTTTAGTGAATGAGAGCAGGAGGGTAAAAATAGGTGAGGCCAGCAGAGAATACCGGCAGCGGTACCGGTAGACAGAATTGCCGTCCAAAGATAAAAGATTTGATCTTTTTGTCATCCTCAGCAACATCATTTACAACTGGATGTGCCATAGCTCCCTCACACCAGAGCCAGTTATTTCAGTTTGCAATAGAATGTTATCAGACGGTTGCATCTCATAACTTCATGCATTACTAGAATAATTACATAAAATGGTTGACTTAAAGTTATTTTATTTAATATATTCTATTTCTCCATTACATGTCTTCATGTGTCATTCATTGTGCCGTCCTGCCATTCCGACTGTTAGCAGCATTTTAGCATCACAATATCCCTAAAAACTTGAAACCACTGCTGCAGTGTAATCCAGATCGCCACTGTGCAGCTGTACGCTCAGTATGTTCCAAAGACTTACAATTTGTTAATTTTGTTGCTAGAGAAACTGCACATTAAAGGTTGTTTGTAAATCACTGCTGTACAGTTTCTAGCTGGCAACCTACGAACACATTCTCACTCCCAACTCGTCAAATACAAGCCTGTCAGTCAGTGGTCCTCTGCTTTAAACTATGCTGTTTTGGATGTGTCAGGAACAACAGTTTCCAATTATCACATGCATAGTGTCTTTTCAAATTAAACTTCCAACGGAGGTTAACTTAGTTTTTAGGTTTACATATACAACAAAACTACTTGGTTAGGCTTGGTCTGGGTTAAATGAAGTTTTTTTCTTACGCATAATAACTAGGTTTGTTGTGTAAAAAAGTACGTGAGTTACATAATAAAACTACTGTTAAATACGTTGATGCTGATTTGATTTCACATGGATGGACATGAACAGCAGGGTGAAAAGTCCAGTGTCCGTTTGACCCATCCACAACCTTTCCCACCCTCAAGTGGCTCAGATGTCTAATACTGAGGCTTGTGTGCTACTTTGGGGTGTTACTTTTCATTACAAGATAGATACATATAGATACATATTTCCATGGCGTCATGTATGGGACATATACTGTATATACAAATGTCTTAAACATGTTTTTACCTGCACACATGCCTCTCCTCCCTGTCCAGATACACTCTCCTGCCAATGGGTATTCTCCAGGTGACAGGCGTGAGGCAGGTGGATGCAGGGGTTTTCCGCTGTGTCGCCACCAACCCCGCCAACACTCGCTTCAGCCACGAGGCCATGCTCAACATCACTGGTAGGTGGACACACATGTAGCATATAATATACATGTAGTTAAAGAACAAGGGTTAGTTATTCTACTCCCTCTGGCTCGAGCTACGTTATTCATTCCTGCATGTATTAACAGGATATATGGAATGTGTCGATGTACCTGTAGAGGTAATTGTCGTCACCATATCTCAGATTGTTTTGCCAACTTAAGATGTTCCTGTACATCAGTCCTCGACTGAAACAGAAATTGCTTTTATCCCAAAATGGAGGCTTTTACAACGAATCACTTTTTGTTTTCCGTCATCCTCTCAGGTGGAGCTCCCAGAACCTACAAGGAGCCATTCATCTTGTCAGGACCCCAGAATCTGACCATCACCATCCATCAGACGGCCATCTTGGAGTGCATCGCCACAGGAAACCCAAGGCCCATTGTTTCCTGGAGCAGGCTAGGTACCACTGGACATTTGTAATGGACTGTCAATGTACTTGATTGGAGGAGAATTAATGATGTGCAATTTTAAGCATGTTTGAATTTTTATTTCACAAACCATCTCTGAATGTCTCCGTGTCTGTGTGTTCATCAGACGGACGCTCCATTGGAGTGGAGGGTATCCAGGTTCTGGGGACCGGGAACCTGATGATCTCAGATGTTTCCCTGCAGCACTCTGGTGTGTATGTGTGTGCTGCCAATCGGCCCGGCACCAGAATGAGACGTACTGCACTCGGACGACTCGTTGTACAAGGTGAGGCCATGCAGAGACATACTGCTCAAGTGTTAACTCTCCTAGAGCTCCTCACTGGCCATCCATACTGACCATTGATTCTGTATTGACTAACTATTTGGAAATACTCTTCTTTGTACATATGTACATCAGGTGAGAAGATGGTTAGAAGTTATCGTTTCTCTGTGTCCAGTGCAGACAAGGCCATAACCAGCATTTCAAAAATACTGAGGTTATGAGTCATAATTTCCCTGTTTATTGTCTGTCAATTTCAAAGGCTGTTGCAAAAACCCTGTTCATACAGCAGTAACATCCTTCTGGTGGTCAAATACGAAATCAATTTATTTTGCATGAATTGAATTGAAGTAAATGCATAACGTCTGTAGATTTACAATTCTGGGATTCATTTATATCAGACTTAGCCTTAAAAACATCCATCATATGTGGAACTAAAGAATGTAAACCTTGTTAACACCAGTGTTGGGCCAGTTACATAGAACATGGACAGGAGATGTAACTTGAACCTGAACTTTTCTCAACCATGATAAAGATCTTTACACATACAGATTTTTATGTACTATGTCTGTTCATGAAGTCTTTGACCGTGTCGTGAGCTAGCTTAGCAACATTTTGGTTAGCCAGCACTGTTTGACCGCTGTGTGTGTGTTCTTAGGCTGGTGACGTTTCCGAAACACGAATCACGAGTCTTTGTAATAGAACATTCTTCAATTTGATCATGAATGTATTTGTGGAGATATTAAGTTGTGTGTATCTAGCCAAACAGCTACCATGGTGCTAACATCAGTGTAATACAGCATCTAGGTGAGGCCGTGCTCGTGATGGGATAGCACGGGTTTATGATCATTACTGCGCAGACTCTGGCTCCAAATGACTTTCAGATTTCCAGATATCTGTGCCAGTATAGGGGATATCTGTGTTCGCTTCTGGACAGTGGAAGGAAGTGGAGACACGCCATCTATCCTTATGTACAGTCTATGTAGGCTACTGGATACACAGAGATGAAACTGATGAAACCTCAAATGTTGGACTGTTCCTTAATAAAAACACATTAGTGCAGGGCATGATGCATTCAGGGAAGGGAGGACTGAGTGAGGATGAATTAAATATAATTTAGTTTGAATAGTTTGAATTATACATTACCATATCAAAATTGTCATGTTATCATACTGTACACACTGTTTTGTGAATTGACAGTCTGATATAGATGCATCCTGTCCAGAACACCTGACAATGTTGCAGCCTTTGTTTACCAGGTGTGCGTGTGCACTTGACCATATTAACTGTCGGTGGTGGTGAGGGGAGAGGAAGGAAGGGGTCAATAGCAAAGCTCCACCCTTTCTTTCTCACCTTTGCCCCGGGTTGTTAAGTGGGGGTGTAGGCTGGGAGCATTGGCCAGCTGTATGGTGGTGAAACTACCGGTGTGAGAACCATCCCCACCTCAACCACATGCACACCCCTCGCAGTTCCTTTATGACAACTAAGCACTAACATCAGTGTTGAGCTGTGTGTGTGTTTGTGGGAGGAGGGGGTCGGGGCTCATCCATCACCCTGCAGATGTCCATACACTTATATCACTTCTAATTCTCACAGTCAATAGCTGTGTTTTAATTAGCTGTCCTGAGGCCAGCTCAAATAGCAGCTCCCAGAGCGTTAGAGTGCACACAAGACAGAAACAAGAAGAGTGTTAAAGTGTTCAATTTGTAATTACCAGGCTCTGATTTCTCTGTTTGTTGTAAGTCATGGGAGTGACCTTTGGTTAGCAGAAATGCATATATACATCCCTAAACACATCCGGTTTCTACAGCATACTGCATACAGACAGTGACTACATTATAGGGTACATTCACCAGTTTATACATACATTTTTACATCATGTTTTACATAAAACTAAATTAAGCAAAAATGAAAACATATCTGTTCTTACTTAAGTGAAGGATCGAAATACTTATTTTACTACTGTACAACATATTTGACATGCACAAGATCATTTGGGTGGTACTGTTACTAACTCTGTATTTCACTTCAATAAAGTTGGGGGACTTGTGAGAGAGAGACAGATTAAAAATAGAATGGTCACAATCTGTGCAGCAGAGGCCAATATTTTCAGACTTTTAGTCTTCAGTATGGGTCAAGCACCAAAGCATCCTACATTTCCCATAATGTAACTATTAGCATATATTTATTATGCCCTCCCTACCGATTAAATGTCAATACCTCTCAAACTTTATGCCTACACTTTAGTTATGAATTATTAGTCTCCAAAACCGAGTTAACATAACCTTAATGACATCATAAGGGTTTTTTTTTCCGACTTTGTTAAGCTGCTCCAGATGAATACAATATATAATATGAATGGTAAACCGGCTGAGTACTCCTCATGACCAGTACATTGAGCTTCATGTGTAAAGTGGTTGATGTGCCTCTAAAGCAGACTTTTGTTGCTGCTCATCTTGAGTGACCCTCAGTCTGTAGAGTAAACACAACACTGAGATCACCTCAGCACAGTTTAAGACGGCTGCTATAATCAAGCTATTGTTGAGAGAAGTATAGTATATACTCTATACTGTAACTTCAAACAGTGTATCTGAAATGTAAACCAAAAGAAAGAGCTGAAGCACATTTAATTCTTGTATTCTCAATTACCACCAATCTATATTCATATAATTAAGCTTTACCTTCATCCATCCATCTCTCTGTTCTTGTTGTGTCCGACTCTTTGAGCAGATCGATCAATACGTTCCCTGTCACTCTCTCACAGTGATTGGCAGTGCCTCTGATGTAGAGGAGGGGAGCAGAGCCAGATCTCTAATATATTCATTCATTTATTGATCAATTTGCTCTCTTTTTGGCTTTGGTTATCTGGGAGCATGACCACCCACACAGTGGTTCAGAAGAGGAAATGAAATGTCCTCATTCTGCAGCGGTGCATCCAAAATGAGATTTTTACAATAAAGCTGTTTGACGATGCCCAGTCATAATTAGGTGAGATGAATCTCTACTGATTCATTTTAGAACACTCGGTCATCTTCGGAAATACTGTTCAAATCATCGTGTACATTGTATATCATTTTTAATGTGACAACATCATATTGCAGATCATGTCATACTATGTCTTGTATGGCACATATGGGATAAAACATTACTTTATAGCTATTCCTATATGTTGGAGGTGTGTTTAACATTTATGGGCTACGATAAGTTTCAACAGGATTCAGATCTTGTGAAATGATGCTTTCAAATGTGCAGGAAAAGAAGTGTAGTCGTAGAAAAAAGAAATGGTGAGTTTACACATAGAATCTGAGAAAAAAAGAAAAGCTTCTGTGACCATCTGAGTACACATTCATAGCAGAAAACTGTTCAACACTAAAGTTAGATATGCATGGATACAAAACAGTTATAACATTCCATTGATTTGTGCACATTTTATACATTTTTCCGTATCTTTTCTTTACATTCATAAACTTATATGTTGTTTTTTTATTGAGTATTCAAAGGGGGATTTACAACCACAGGCTTTGTAATTATTTCTGAACATCACTTCACAGGCTCTAAATCTAATCTACACTTATTTGAGCTCATAATCCAATAGAAAGAACATTTTAAATCTATAAAACATGATCTTTTTGCAAAAAAGTGTTCAATTTTTGCAATTAGACATAATAAAACAATAAGAACATGTTTGTTCTGTCTTTTGTTACGGTCAAATCCTCCAGTACAGAGACGCTGTGAAGATGTTTTTGTTGTCCAGCTGAAGTCAAGTTGGGTGGGAACCAGTGAGACTGGCTGCTGTTTGTCGAGTGAAGGTTAGCAGAGGTCTGTCTGTGAGTGTGTGTGTCCACGGTCATGGTCACAATGAAGGGACAAAGAAGACAACATACAAAGAGACAAAAAAGTCCAGCTAGACGGTCAATGCAGGGTGCGAGGTGCCGGAGGGGGGTCCAAGGGGAATTAATGACCTGCGACCTCTGACCCCTGACCTTGACAGGAGGATGAAGGGCGTATGTGTGTGAAAACGGTTGGAGTGAGGGAGGAGGCGGTGGAGTCAGGACGGACAGATAGGGAGGTGGATGGAGAAAGGAGGTGTGGTCTCAGGGTAAATTAGGGAGAGCAGGAAGATGAATAGCATCCCGGCAGAGGGGTCATGGCAACCAGGGTGTCACCACGGAGAGGGAGACACAAAGGATGGACAGCCATTTTAGCGAATGGTGCGTTAAATACGCCCATCCCTCCCTCCCTCCTCCCTCCTCATTTTTCTTGACTCGTTTTGCAGACGAGATGAGCTGGAGATCTTTTATCATGCAGATCCCAGTGAGGGCCTCAATGCACTTCTCACATATAATGTGAACATCAGCTAAAAGACTCCTAAGTATCACGCTGAGCCACATAACTTCTTCCTCAAATGTGTTGAAAAATCCATTCAAATGGGTATGTATGGCCAGGCTGGCAGGTACTTTTATTTAGGGGGTGTAGTTAAGTACAAGTTCAATGTAGTGTAGTTTATGTCCACTCTGGCAGTAAAGGGGTGTGGACTGAAATAAAGCAGAATGCTAACTGTCCAAATGTGGTCGGTGTTACAAACACATATGAACACTACAGGTACTTTACTTAAGCATTTTTATTTCATGTTACTTTATACTCCACTTAACCTTAAATTGAAATATTGATCAGACAGCTGGACTGGTTTGGACTTTACATAAAAAACATATGATCATCCTCCAAGTTGTTTCATTCCTGTAGATTAAACCAACAATGATGCTTAAAAAGTATCCAATTGTTACTGGATTACATCGTTGTTTCCAGTTAACGTCCTTGGAAATGGTTATGAAGTCATGAAGGACCCTTAAAAAAAGCAGTATTACACTTTAAAATACTCTTTGCAGCTTAGTGCAATCATATTTAGAACCTCTAATGTTCCTCTGAGTACTTTCATTTATTATTATTTAAATACATCCACTGCTCATACATTTTGTACCTGTACTGCCATTTTAACAGCTTTATGGTTCACATATATGTAAATGTTCAGTGCCTGAAGTATGCCCCCCCCCCCCCAAATATAAAAGAAAACAAACAAACATAAAAAGAGGTTATGAGGTGAGGTGAAACTCAAGGTCAACAGAATCACCGATCAATACAGAGTATGGATCGACTGATGAACGCTCAGCTGAGGATGCCTGACACTTTCTAACATGATGGTGGGACAGATGAACAGATCAATGGGTGGACAGCTACCCCCCCTTAGAGATAATGAGCACACACACACACACACACACACACACACACACACAGAGCAAATGAAGTAACAATGCCTTAAACATGATCTTTTATTATATATGCTGGTGTAAACTGTCTTGAGATAGTTAATCCATTATGGTCAAACTGCATTACAATGCAGTGATTACACCATAGCCTTCATAAATACTATTTCATTTGTGATTGTTGGCAGCTGTTTGTTAAATCATACACGGGGACATGTGATTTATTCTTAATCACTGCACAAAGTATATTAAAGGAATACTTCACACCTGTGAAAACTCCACGGTGAAGGAAGAATCAGAAACCAGAGAATAAAGATGAAGTAAACAGGAGCAATGCTGCATCAGAACAGATCCGTTCACAGACTCTCACAAAACTCACGCACTATAATCCAGGTCTCCTTCATCCAGGTGCATGCTGACTACTAGTCACCTTGTTATGTTTGTTACATTAGGATTAAACCCATCAAACCATGACTTGTTTTTAACCTAGACCAAGTAGTGTTGTGGCCTGAAACTGAACAGCAGCGTTAACCTCGAGGCATTGTGCGTTTCTGCGTGAAACGAGGCTGATATATGAAACGATTTATGAAATGTATTTTTGGTTCAGAAACCCCAAAAACTGACAGCACCACGTCTTTACCGCACCAGGTCTACATTTGCTCCTGTGATGGTACAACACAACAACCACACACACACCTACAGTATCATTTCATTCTGTCTGCTTCACAGGTTCGTTCTGGCTCAGATTAACTGGGAGCTGGTTCTGATAAAAATACTCTGACCAATAGAAGAAAGAAAACTGCAGTGATGAATGTGTCATTGAAATGGTCATCTTGACCCCCCACCCAGCTCATGGATGGATGGTTTGGGGGGTGGCGGGTCACAGAAAGTATTGAGGTCAATAGATCAATGAGATGCTGAGCGTGGGCTGAAGTGGGAGGGGCTTTAGAGCTTAAGGATTGCTGTCCATATCCCAGTATATGCATGTCTATTGTGCCTCTAGTTTTGAACTGGGTGTCAGGAGGAGCAGTCATCCCTGCATCTAGACAGCCGGGGACTGGCTGGGGTCAGCAGGCTGCATGTGTGTGTGTGTGTGTGTGTGTGTGTGTGTGTGTGTGTGTGTGTGT